CCAGTCTCCGATACCAGACCCATACTGTAAGATACGGTCTTTCGAAGCCGAAAATTGTTACAAGTCCGAAAATCCGAATTTTTTGCACAATCTGACAACATTGTACCGAAAAATTAACTAATTTCTTTCACCACCTGGCAACACTGTGAAATTCGATGTTGCAAAATTTCACCCATAATTAAATCATTTATTTAAGTGCACCGTCCGGCAACGCTGTTGTATAACCGCCATCTTGAAGAAAACACCATTGCATAACCCGCATAATGAAGGGGCTACATTACACCATTGCATAACCCGCATATTGTAGGAGCAACATGCAATACTTTTATTTTACAGCGTTGCCATATTGAACAATAATCACCATACGACACTGTAATTTAATTCATATTTTTCTGCACAATTTGGCTAAAAACTTTTGGCCTAAGATCGGCATTTTCATAATACTCCCTTAACCGACCCGACCGCTGTGAGATGGAAAAACCTGGTTATGTGGGGGTAGAGCACACCGCCGTGTTCCGTACCCAATAAACGACCCCTCCAGGCCACACCCCGTGCAATTGTGGCCCATCGGACGCTCTATCCTCCCGTCGGACGTCCCTAAAGCACTCTTCGAACGGCAATCTCCGACCTCGGCCCCGGTGAAGCCGGCGCCCCTCAGGCCCCCCACTTGGGGGAGGGTCCCCCCATCCCCCGGGACCGATCTGCCGAAGCCATCATTGTACCCGGAGTCAAGGGCGTAGGAGGAGAGCCTAGGCCCAACTTGCGCCAAACCCTTTCGTGATGAGGTTAATGAATACATTCGAGACCAACAAACTTAAAATTCAAAGAAAAATACAAGGGGCATACTATAAAAAAGTATCGCTCCACTGAAAAATCTATAAAATGGACCAATTTTCTTTCTTTAAAAAAAATTGGGCTTAAAATCTTTCTTGGGTTATACTGAACTTAAAACTTGAAGCATCAAGGTAATCGGACGAAATGAGGTTGCGGGCATGGCGCGGATGAGCGCAGCTACGTAAAAATTTCCCGCCGCGCCGGCTCAAAATCTAACGCAGCTTGGTGCTGTTCTTCCTTTTAAAGGGAGTGTTTTGAATGAGTGAGACACACGAAGGGAATTCCTAATGAGATACTAGTGAATCTAAATAGTAAAAAAATGAGGAGGATTTATTGATGATAATGCGATGGCATCATAGGATCTGAAAACAAGTTAGTCCCGAAACACCACTGTCTCTCTCGTGTTCATCTTAAGCTGCTATCACAATAGCAGTCCCGAGGTACAGTTGGACGTGTCAGATTGTAGGTCTGACAGTTTGCGCATTCGCAGAAACTGTACAGTCGGCGATGGGGCAAGTCTGTCAACTGTCCATTCAGCCCACGAATGTCATTGATTGTACAGTCGGAACTGCAAATGTGATCCCTAGCAGCTATAAAGTAGAGTGCGACTCCTAAAGTTCAAGACTGCACAATTCGGGCGGCGATTTGCTTTCCCAGTGCAAGAGAGAAAAAACTTTAGTAAAATCTATTGGGAACTTTAATTTCAGTGCAACATGTACGACTTCAAGAATTAGATGACAGTTGGATCAGCTCAAAAGGTCGTGCGGATCGTCAGTCTTATTTCAGTTGATTTGCAGTAAAGTCGGCGCCCAGGATTTACTCGGCACGGAAAACCAGACTCTGGCATGGGTTTTTCAAAACGCCCTTTTTTTCAAAATGATAGTCTAAAAACGGCACATATTGACGAAAATATCGATGGTTTTCCGTAATATTAGAACATGGAAGCTTTTGGGTAACAATAAATCGTTGTGAAGAGGATGACTATTAGCCTAAATTTTATGTCTGTGGGTATAACTGTTCAAAAGTTACCGAGGTTGGGACGGACTTTGAGTCATTTTTAGGAAGTCTTTTTTCTTTCTTATCTTACTATAAAAAAGGTAGGTAATTTTGGAATGCACTGCTGGATTCAGTTTTTACGTACTCATAGGTACTTAAGTAAGTACCAAGTTTTATACAGGGTGAGCGAAAAGTCCCCGACCCCCCCTCTAACTTTTGAACGAATTGAGCTAAGGAAATGAAACTTTGGGAATGTTCCTATCTCAAAGGGGACCATCTTTTGAGGGGGTCAAAATTTTGGTCCCCCCCCCTCAGGGGGGGACAGGGGCCCCTCAACTTTTTTTTCAAATAGCAACCCCTATCTTGTGATACCTCATTCGAAAGAGCATAAAAAACTAAGAATTTTGGCGCAAACCGCAGATCAATATCTCAATTTTTGACCGAGTTATGATAGGTCAAAGGTCAAATTTGACCTATTTTCAAAAAATCATAACTCCGGTTCAAATTATCGTAAAGAAAAAAATAAAACGGGAAAATTTACCAAATTGTGTTCGCTTTTACGTAAAAATTGCAGAAATCACTTCGATTTAATTTTAAGGGGGGGCTCGGACCCCCAAATACGTCAATTCAAAGGTCATTCAATTTTCCTGCGAAATAAGCCAATTTCCTCTGGATTTGCCTCCACATTATCTCAGTAAGGTCAAAATCAGTTCAACATTACGTTGGCAAGTCCCCAAATTTCGGGAAAAGTTAAAAAAACGAAATTTAAGGTGATTAAATTTGACCGTTTAAATTTCGTTTTTTTAACTTTTCCCGAAATTTGGGGACTTGCCAACGTAATGTTGAACTGATTTTGACCTTACTGAGATAATGTGGAGGCAAATCCAGAGGAAATTGGCTTATTTCGCAGGAAAATTGAATGACCTTTGAATTGACGTATTTGGGGGTCCGAGCCCCCCCTTAAAATTAAATCGAAGTGATTTCTGCAATTTTTACGTAAAAGCGAACACAATTTGGTAAATTTTCCCGTTTTATTTTTTTCTTTACGATAATTTGAACCGGAGTTATGATTTTTTGAAAATAGGTCAAATTTGACCTTTGACCTATCATAACTCGGTCAAAAATTGAGATATTGATCTGCGGTTTGCGCCAAAATTCTTAGTTTTTTATGCTCTTTCGAATGAGGTATCACAAGATAGGGGTTGCTATTTGAAAAAAAAAAGTTGGGGGGCCCCTGTCCCCCCCTGAGGGGGGGACCAAAATTTTGACCCCCTCAAAAGATGGTCCCCTTTGAGATAGGAACATTCCCAAAGTTTCATTTCCTTAGCTCAATTCGTTCAAAAGTTAGAGGGGGGGTCGGGGACTTTTCGCTCACCCTGTATAAAACCGTCAATAAAAATGATTTAGATACTTCTCTTTTCATCAGTGTCTGCCATTTTTGGGCCACCGTTTTCAAAAAAGGGAAGTTTTAAAGAACACAAACTGGATTCACTTTTTCTCGTGCCAAATAATCTCTAAATGTCAAAATTTATTTGAATCCAAAGGTAAATGACGGAAATTTCGAGTTTTGCCTTCTATACTATAAGCTCCGAGGCCTCCTAATTTTGCAAAACTGTAACTGGTAACGCTCCAGCTATCTACCGCGCCGACCCAGGTTTTTCATTATTACATTGTAAAATTACGAATTTTCCCATTCAAACAATGTAAATTTAAAATTTATGTCATAGTTCGTTAGAGCGTTCTACTACGCCGATTTCCATGATTTTTGCGGTTATCGACAGGTGATAGATCCTAGATGAGCCCACTTTAATCAGATTTTGGAAATAGGACCAAGGTTTTTTTCTTATGTAAGACAAAACCAGGAAGCTTAAAAAGGCGGGCAACATTTGAAATTCCCGTCATTACAAAATGGCGGGAATTTCAAACTAAGCGGAAAATTGAACTAAGCGGGAAATATAGAATCTTGGTCTATTAGTTGGATAAGGCAAGTGAATAGAAGGTATGCTCACTTGGCACAGACTATCGATAAGCGATGGAACGCTTTGTTCTGTTACTTTTCAGTCTGTGCGAGAAGTTTGAAATAAATGCCGATTTTTTTATTCGATTCTCATTGGTTCAATCGCTCTCGGCCAGAGGGAGATTGGACAAATGAGAGTCGAGGATGAAAATCTCTTTATTTTTTGGTCGTTCTTTTGCCAAATCAAGCCTAATAGAGCGCGAAGCGCCCTCTGGGGGTTGGGCCGCGTAGCGGTCAGGGGGCCCCCTATTATTTTAATTATAACCAGCCGCCATATTGCTTAAAATCAAAGTGGAGACCCTCGGGTCGCACCAATTTTTTTTTTTTTTTTTTTTTTTTTTTTTTTTTTTTGTCCACTAAGGTGTCACAAATAGGGAGTTGCCATTGGAAAAAGTAACGGGGTCCACAGCTCCCTCTGTGGAAGCAAGTGTTCGTGCACCGGTTGATGCAAAGTTGCGGGTCTCTACCGTGTAGGGATGTAGACGTACTATCTCGACTGATGATTTCGACTGGTTATCCGGCCTATGCCTCGGCCTGTATTTATGGTCCATCACCGACTCCCCACTAGGATGATGTTGCGCAATACTTATTGGTATAGGCCTATAGGGAATCGAACGATGAAACTATAATCAGTGGCCAGAGTCAGAACTGCTTTGCAAGAGCGGTAGCTCGTCACTCATATCATTGAGAGGTGGTATCGGTACCACCGCGCCACCATAAGGCCCCTGAAAATTTTGGGGAGCCCTACAAAAAAACTTACATTAATCTTTGAACACTTTTGGGGCACCCTATGTATATATTCTGTACGTATCAAGGTACATACATACTGCATTTCTTCTTTGGCTACTAGGTTTCGACATCCCAAGTCCACGCACGGTCATATTTTGCCCAATTACTTCGACACTTTGTTTTCTAAATTCAGTACATCATCACAAAGATTTCCATCCAATTTTTTTTTTTTTATTTTAGCTATGTCCTTTTTATAAATTTTAGAGAAGGGGATACTTACTTATTGAACGCTCCTCTTCGTTAACGTATTGAATGCAAGGAAAGTATGTGCTTCCATGGCATGAGGTCGATTGAATCCATGTGTAACCATTCAAAGGTGTTCCACATATACTCCAGATTGGCTGCTAGTTATTAGATAACTTACTTTTTTCACAATCGCTTGCAATTTTTGGAAAAATTCTGGTGAAGCTTCATTATCACCACCTTCCGCCTGAATTGGCTCGACAATGACTCCAGCAATCGGTCTTCCCTTCTTCCGCTGGCTTTCAAATAACTCATCAACCTAAACGTGCAATCATATATTTTAACATAAAGAAACACTTCCAGATTTAATATAAAATATTTTAGCTAAAAAAAAGTGGGACGAAGTTAATTTTGACTTTTCAGCTTTGATATACATAATTGCTTATCCAAAAGTCATTTACCACCCTTAGGTATAACCTCTTTCTTGATTGACATTGGGGATGTTTCTAGGTCTAAAGTTGCAACTTTTTGGTTCCCCCAAAATTTTGCCGGACGGCCTCCTCTAAGGGGGGCGAAGGCAACTTTTTTTCAAATGGCAGCCCCCCTCTTTTGGGACATCTCATTCAAAAGACAATAAAATAGAAACAAATTCGGCACAAATCGTAGGTCAAAATGTTGATGGATCACAAATTTTAGGCCGGTCAAAGGTTAGAAATAACCCTTTAGCATCTCCGTTTTTCGACGAAATGGGATGAAACTCGCTGTCCAAGGGTTTTTAGGGACAAGAAAACCGATTCCGGAATTATTTTTCTGGAAAATTCAGCCTTTATGAGGGTGGCGGCGGTCAAAATAGTGACCTGGAGCAGGAGGTAGATATTTTGCCTGTTCATTGGTGGATTCTCATGAAATTTGTCCGCCATTTTAGAGTAACTGGCGTTTCAAAAATGTATTTCGAACGAGTCCTTTTTTTGGGCCAGAAACCAACAGGGCACGACTTTTATGCGAATATGGATCAATAACCCCCCGTAAGACCGAGTTCCCGCCAAATTTCCGTCACCATTCTGAAGTTATTCAGAAATTCGAATATCCAATGGAAAATTTGTTTTTTCGTGCCGTAATGCCCACGAATACCGAGTTTTATACAAATCCATCGATAAGGAACCAAAATATCCACCTCTCGCTCTAGACCGCCATTTTGACCGTCACCATTTTACAAAGGACTGAATTTCCCGGAAAACTAACGCCAGAGTCGTTTGCTTCGTCCCAAAAGACTTCAGATACCTACCGCGCTTCATCTTAATCCGTTAACAAAATCGAAGATGCCAAATTTCGGTTATTTTAAACATTTGACCGTCCGCCAATTTGTAAAAAACAACATTTTAAGCTGCAGTTTGCACCATCCCTGGTAAAAATGGCAAGTGCTCAGATCAGTTGCACTTGCCTTTGGAACAGACCTAAACACTGATGTCAGTGCTGCCGGGCGCTGATCTCCTACGTCAGTGTTAGGTCTGTTCCAAAGGCAAGTGCCTCTGATGTAAGTGGCACTGACTTCAGTGTCTCCGACGTAAGCGGAGTGGAAACTCCCAGAAATACTGTAGAGGCAAAAAGGACCCCGCACACCTCTTATGGGAAGCTGCACCACGAGGAATTGCCTTCTGACTTATATCATTGGATTCTCCTCAAGATGCTGATCAAAAGTTATAATTGCGCCAACTTTCTACGATGCACCGTTTTCGCAAAAAAGCTGAGTGAAGATTCAATTATTTGGCGATAAAAAGCCAGAAAGATTCCTCATTTCAGTACTCGAGTGAACAAATCAGGGGAACTCCCGCACCGACCGGCAGTCTTATCTCGGATTCCGCACGCCGTTTTCCTCGACCATCCAAATCAGTTCCTCTCTTTCTACCGCTCTATTCACCTCTTCCCCATGTCTCTGAATCGTTGATCAGTGATCGACATCCAACGTTGCCTGGTTTCACTAATAATTTTTAGTTTCATTTTCGTTTACATTAATTCAGCGGTTGTGATAGAGCTTTTTGAAGGATTGAAGGAGGAGAGGCCTTCAATTCTTCGAGGCACCGATACTGATCTAGGTAGCAACATATCGTGACAGCGTATTATTCCATTCAGTGGCGTGGCGTGCTTTGCGATTTATCGATTTTTACGCCATTTAAACGAATGGAAAAGGATCGATAAACAGGGTGTTCGCAGTGAACACCTTAATAATCGATTCTTTACCATAGGTTTAAATTACATATCAATCGATATATCGCAATTCACGCCACGCCACTGATTTAGCTATGCATGTAAGTAGTTCACTTTAGCACAAATACATTAATTAATGATGGTTTTAAAAAAATAAATTGGCAACACCGCCAATTTCGTGAGGAGCATATGAACAGGAAAACGAGCGTCAAACGGACGCATCGAGAGTGGGAGGAGGGGGATAGCCCTAGAGTCGGCAGGTACAGATAAGAAGACGGACACGCGCTAGGTACGCTTTTTCCTTATTTAAATCGGGCCTGTTCTCAAATTCTTTGTTCTTTTTTATTCATAGTCGCCGAATAATTTAATCTTCACTTAGCTTCTTTGCGAAAACGGTGCATCGTAGAAAGTTGGCGCAATTATAACTTTTGATCAGCATCTTGAGGAGAATCCAATGATGTAAGTCAGAAGGCAATTCCTCGTGGTGCAGCTTCCCATAAGAGGTGTGCGGGGTCCTTTAGTTAATTACCGATCCGCCAGGTACGTTAATTCACTATTTGACGACCAGGGAGATCTGCTGTGAGTTTTCCATCACAAGTAATCACAATCTTCAGTGGATAACGCTCGTTCCCATGCGGTCTTCAATTTAAGTACTAACTACGCCCGACGTAACTTAACCTCGGTGATCGACCTAGCGACTGAACCACTACACTACCTGCGCGTGTAAGTGCCAGGGGCGTAATTATGCCATTTCAGGGCCCCCATTGGAGTAAGTTTGCCGGCAAATGATGATTTTGTCTTTGAATTTGAATCCGATACCTAATTTTTTTAATTATTCTTTTTTAATCAATCAACATGTAAATGAAGTTTTATATGTTATGTTTCTTTGAAAAAAAAAATGAAATGCATTAAAATTCAAAATTATAGCTAAGGATGTAAAAAAAAATAATTAAAGTTGAATGATACAAAAAATATAAATTAGCAGATACAAAAATTGGAAGTACCTAAAGGAGTAAAAAAGTTTGAAAAGAATTAAAAATAAACTAGCTGCTTCAGCTCGCTACGCTCGCTTGCGCCGCTAGCCGGGGGCAAGCCCCCTGGACCCCCAGTTACTCGCTCCGCGAGAAACTGTTGGCTCGCTTCGCGAGCCAAATTTTGCTACTACCAGTGCTTAGAGGACTTCCTGGAGGCAAAATGATAAATTCAAAAACAAAGAATAGGAAACTAAAAATTACCCACTTTTAGAAAAAGAAACAACCTTGAAAAATAAATAACACTCCTGGAAAAGAAAATCAGAACACTTTTTGAAAATGTAACGGTGCGAAAGGGTGAAGATAAATCACCAATTCTCTTGGAAGAAGACATGAGCCGACCCCCGACATGAGTGAAACTGCCGGAGGACCCATGCTAGGGTAGAAGGGTGACACGTGTTGTGAGCAGGTAGGGATGGGTTTACGTGGAGAGGGAAACGGAAAATCAGAGGGTGGGAGGTCCCCCAACCATATGACTCGTCCAGCGTCAAAAACGCAAATATGTCGTTATCAAATCGAGGTAAATTTTGCAACTTCGGTCGCGCAAATGGAAAAACGAAGGGGTCTTGGCACATCTAGACCCTATGAGCTTTCATTTAAAACAAATCCGAGGAAAATCGGTCGAGTAGTTTCTGAAATCGAATTAGCACAAACTGTCCAGCGTCAAAAATGCAAATATTTCGTTATCAAATCGAGGTAAATTTTGCAACGTCGGTCGCGCAAATCGAAAAACTAAGGAATGTTGGCACGTCTACAGCCTAAGAGCTTTCATTTAAAACAAATCCGAGCAAAATCGGTCCAGTAGTTTCCGAGATCGAATTAGCACAAACTGTCCAACGTCAAAAACGCAAGCATGTCGTTATCAAATCGAGGTAAATTTTGCAACGTCGGTCGCGCAAATCGAAAAACCAAGGGATGTTGGCACGTCTACAGCGTAAGAGCTTCCATTTAAAACAAATCCGAGCAAAATCGGTCCAGTAGTTTCCGAGATCGAATTAGCACAAACTGTCCAACGTCAAAAACGCAAGCATCCCTGGTAAAAGTGGCAAGTGTTAGGTCAGTGAATTTTCCACTGAGGTCAGTGCAATTTGCTCTGACGTAAGTGTTAAAGCACTTACCCAAGAAGTCAGCACTGAGGTAAGAGGCACTGACGTCAGGAGAAGGACTTACCTAAGTGCAGAGATGTCTCTGAGGTAAGCGGGACTGAGGTCAGGACTTGGTTCAGAGGGTAAGTCTCTGACATCAATCTTAATCGAACCGCACTCACTCCCAAAAAGTAGAGTTGGCTCCCCCTTCCCCCACCCTATTTCATTTTCGTGGGGGAATATTTCCTCGGGACACGGGGACCACAAACTTTATCTTTCAGAGAGGCATATTTTGTAGAAGGTGGGATTTTCTAAGAGGGAAGGAAAACTAGTTTAAGTAGCCACACTCTTGAATAATTTGTTTTACCCTCTTTGTTTAAGATGGCACTTAAATAATTAAAACACAACAAAAAATGAGATCGATAAAAATATTATCACCGCTAAAATATGTATTTAGATATACTTATTTAAGCATTATTATTTTTTTTATAAAAAAAAATAGTTTTAAATTTGGTTTTAATTTTTTTCAGTTTTAACTGTTTTTAAAATGTTTCAGTCTCAATTTTTTTTAAAATTTTCCTACTTTATTTTCAAATCTTTTCTAACTTTTTTACTCCTTTACTTTCAATTTTTGTATCTGCTAATTTATATTTTTTGTATAATTTCAACTTTCATTATTTTTTTTTTGCATCATTAGCTTTAATTTTGAATTTTAGTGCGATCCATTTTTTTTTCAAAGAAACGTAACTTACAAAACTTCATTTACTTGTTGATTGATTAAAAAAGAATAATAGAAAAATTAAGTATCGGATTCACATTCAAAGACAAAATCATCATTTGCTGGCAAAATTACCCCAATGGGGGCCCTGAAATGGTAAAATTACGCCCCCAACACGTACACGCGCAGGTAGTGTAGTGGTTCAATCGCTAGGACGATCACCGAAGTTAAGTTACGTCGGGCGTAGTTAGTACTTAAATTGGAGACCGCATGGGAACGAGCGATGTCCCCTGAAGATTGTGATACTTGCTTGGGATTGAAAACTCACAGCAGCCCTCCCTGATCGTCAAATAGTGACTTAACGTACCTGGCAGATCGGTAATTAACGAAATTTTTGCCTGTACAGTATTTCTGGGAGTTTCCACTCCGCTTACGTCTGAGACACTTAGGTCAGTGCCACTTACATCAGAGGCACTTGCCTTTGGAACAGACCTAACACTGAGGTAGCAGATCAGCGCCCGGCAGCACTGACATCAGTGCTTAGGTCTGTTCCAAAGGCAAGTGCTACTGATCTGAGCACTTGCCATTTTTACCAGGGATGTCGTTATCAAATCGAGGTAAATTTTGCAACGTCGGTCGCGCAAATCGAAAAACTAAGGAATGTTGGCACGTCTACAGCCTAAGAGCTTTCATTTAAAACAAATCCGAGCAAAATCGGTCCAGTAGTTTCCGAGATCGAATTAGCACAAACTGTATGAGGCCAAAAAAGGCCTTAGGATATTAAATATATAGACAAGCATGTCGTTATCAAATTGAGGTAAATTTTGCAACGTCGGTCGCGCAAATCGAAAAACTAAGGAATGTTGGCACGTCTACAGCCTAAGAGCTTTCATTTAAAACAAATCCGAGCAAAATCGGTCCAGTAGTTTCCGAGATCGAATTAGCACAAACTGTATGAGGCCAAAAAAGGCCTTAGGATATTAAATATATAGATTAGGAAAATTTAAAAAAACATTAAGACTGGAAAATTTTAAAAACAGTTAAAACTGAAAAAAATTAAACCAAAAGAACAATTTTTTTTAAAAAAAACTCGTTAAAAAAATAATATGGCTTAAATAAATACATCTAAATACATATTATAGCGGTAATAATATTTTTACCGATCTCATTTTTTTGTGTTTTAATTATTTAAGTGCCACCATAAACGAAGCAGGTAAAACAAATTATTCAAGAGTGTGGCTACCTAAACAAGTTTTCCTTCCCTCTTAGAAAATCCCCCCTCCTAAAAAATATGCCTCTCTGTGAGATAAAGTTTGTGGTCCCCGTATCCCGAAGAATATTCCCCCATGAAAATGAAATAGGGTGGGGGAAGAGGGAGCCATCTCTACTTTTTGGGAGTGAGTGCGGTTCGATTAAGACTGATGTCAGAGACTCACCCTCTGAACCAAGTCCTGATCCAGTCCCGCTTACCTCAGAGACATCTCTGCACTTAGGTACCTAAGTCTTCCTCCCGACGTCAGTGCCTCTTACCTCAGTGCTGACTTCTTGGGTAAGTGCTTTAACACTTACGTCAGAGAAAACTGAACTGACCTCAGAGCAAATTGCACTGACCTCAGTGGAAAATTCACTGACCTAACACTTGCCATTTTTACCAGGGAA